TTCGATTGCAGTAACTTTTTTTCCCATTGTGGAGTAAGTGATCGAAGTATTTTTCTTATCATCTCCACTTGTGTATATGTTTTTCCAAGACCAATGAGAGAATTTGTGATGTTGGTGAATCTTGTAAATATTTCTCCAATAGTCTCATTTTCCTTCATCTTGAACAATTCAAATCTGTGCACAAGAACAGAAATTTTAGATTCTTTAACTTTATTTGTACCTTCATGAGTTACCTCAAGTGTATGCCAAATATCGTATGCAGATGTGACCGTTGACACCCTATTGAACTCATTCTTGTCAAGTGCACAAAATAATGCATTCATTGCTTTTGAATCTAAATTTGCATTATTTCTTTGTGAAGTAGTCCATTCTGAAAATGGAGTTGTTGGCTTCTCATATTTCGTTTCTACAACGTTCCAAAGTTTGTAGCCAATTGATTGAAGGTAAATCTTCATTCGACACTTCCAATAGTTGTAGTTCAATCCATCTAATATTGGTGGACGATTTGTAGAGTGACCTTCTTTGAATTGTAAAGTATTTGACGATGCCAACTTTTACCTCTCTCTGATACCAAATGTAAGATCTGAAATAGATACACTATAACACTAGAGGGGGGTGAATAGTGTTCTTTTAAAATTTATGCAAAGTAGATTATAAATTGTAAAGAAAAATAGCAATCTCAGAAATTCACAATCACAAACATAAAGTTTTATACTGGTTCCACCAATCCGGTGTACATCCAGTCCCCAAGCAAATCCCGCTTAAGAGTTTCCACTATGATTTTGAATAAACTTACAAAATTAAAAGCAAACCTGACTAATTTGTAAGTCCCTATAAATTACAACACCAATTGACAAACACCTTGCCAATTTGTACACCAATCTCTAAACCAAGAGATTAACACCTCTCACAACTCGAGAGAAATTTTAAAGCAACAATTTCAATTCCTATAAGCCTTGATTTGTAGTGTAGTGTAGTAGTGGCTTAGGAATGATTCTAACTTCTGTAAATTACCTAAATAATAAGTATTTGAATGATGTTCAAAGGCAATTTTAGAAACTTTTTTTTTCTCAAAATCTGAATATTTTTCACTTGAAAAAATACAAAAAGATCAAAGCTTATAGGTATGTAAATCTCTCCATTTTTTCTGAACAAATTATTTATAGCCCTTGAAAAGACAAGTTTTTGAACTTTAAAAATGTTTAAAAACGGCTATAAACAGTCATATATTCAAACTTTAAATTTTGGAAAAACTGTATCTGTAGTCGACTACAAGATTGATTAGTCGACTACACTGAGTTTAAACAGACTCTGTGTATTCAGAAAATTTCTCAGTAGTCGACTATAAAGTTCATTAGTCGACTATACTGTAATTTAACAAAAACTTAGAAAATGAATTTTTCCTTCAGTAGTCGACTATAATGTCAATTAGTCGACTATACTGTAAAATAACAAAAACTTATGTTTCTGTCATAAACTTGAGTAGTAGACTATTATTCATATTAGTCGACTATACTGTAAATTTACAGAAACATATATTTAAGACATAAACATGAGTAGTCGACTACTATTCTAATTAGTCGACTACTAAAAGTTAGAAAATGATATAAATTAAATGTTTTGACACTCCAATTTTTAACTATAACTCTAATAGTTAACATAGGGGATTTCTATAATTAACCAACACACTAAACCTGTGTTAGTGTGTTTTAATATTTATGTGTGTGTGTAAGTGATTAAGGCTTGTACAATAATTCTAAGTAAAGAAAATATAAAATACATTATCTCATATGTTCTTCATCTTCTTCACTTCATAATGCCTTGAATCTCAACTTGTACTTGTTCATATTTTGATATTGAAAGCTGCATATAAGAGTTAGTGCATTTGTATAACACACATTGTATAAATTGTTATAATCAAAATACTATCATGGAGATATGATATTCAACATATACCTTGCTTAATCAAAAATACTTTAGGGATAGAAATTTTACCCCAAAGCTTTGTAATATAGGACTCCATAGATTTATACTTAACATTCATCCCAATTACATGTCCAATTAGAGCAAAATTCCAGAAATTTTCCCCTTCTCTCCATTCATCCTCATTGAATGAAACAATATTTCCTTGGGAAGAAGGAACAAAATTTAGTGATAAACCTCTTCCAGCTTGTCTATTATCTGAAAATAAACTGACGAAAGATTTCTTAACCCCTGACACTTCATTATCAATAATTTTGACCTCGTCATCTTTAATTTTCATGCTCTTATTCTTATTTTGAGAAATTTTAACAGATTTTCCTGGCACTTCATTATCAGTAACTTTGACCTCTTCAACTATATTTTCCAGGCTCATATTCTTATCTTGAGTAATTTCAACAGATTTACCTTTAAAGATTCCTTCAAGATTTTGGATTAGCATGATCGATCTTATTCTAATCTAGAAAAGGAATTCCAAAGTCATCACAAGAATCCACAACAAGATCAAATTCATCAAATTCTTCAACATCATCAGCCCAGGAGTGAGGAGATTTACCTAGCTCATGAGAGATTCAATGATCACCATCAATCTGAAGAGAATCAGACAGAGGATTTGATCTTGCTAGAATCTCAGATAACAACACCTTCTTCTTTGCTCCCTTAGGCCCTGTGCTCTCCATTTCTCGAGTGAGAGGATTCACTGTTACATCCGAATCAACATCCGATACAGTAGAAGTTCCAGCTCCAGAGCCAGCAAAGATTCTAGACGATGAAGGATAAGAGAAGAGAGAATCTCGCAGCTCCAAGTTCAGAGTTCCCTTGCTAGCGCTCTTCTTCTTCCTCGATTTCTCCATTCAAATCTAGGCAGAGGCGCAGGTTAGTAGGGAAATCGCCTGCTAAAATGCACCTTCAGACCGCCACTTTTCTTCATGATGCATAGTACTACTGTAGGAACCTTGAGTAAGTTACTCTTATTCTTCCATAACCTATGCCTCTTCCCCTTCTAAACTTATTACCCTTGCACTTCCAAAACTCATGTTATTAACCTCATTTATTCTAACATTTTAATTTGATATTCCAACACTCAATTGGTATGCATCTAACTTGAGGGCTTCAACATGTGATAAGCTTGTTAGGAGGGCAACTCTATCGACTTGCAATATACGTGCATTTGGACGGAGGGAAATAGAAGGCTTCATGATGTTGGATGCTAAGCTGGTAAAGATTTATGTGCTTACTTCTATACTTCCACTAGTAGAACAACGAGCAATCTAGACAGAAATTTCCGTCTAGATTGCTCGTGTTTCCGTCTAGGTTGGTTCACCTAGACAGAAATCCGTCTAGTTTGTTCCGTCTAGTATATTTCCGTCTAGGTTGGAACAAACTAGACGGAATTCCGTCTAGGTTGACAACCTAGATGGATGTAAGAAATCCGTCTAGGTTGCTACCTAGACGGATTTCCGTCTAGGTTGGCAACCTAGACGGAATTCCGTCTAGTTTGTAACCTAGACGGATTTTTTACTTCCGTCTAGGTTGCTTTCCATCTCAAATCATATTCATATCCAACACAATCGATCTAATTATATTTCAATATCAAATATAATTATATTCAAATAATACATTCATCAAAAAACTAGAAAGATACATAAAATTTTTACATAGATTATAAAGAATACAATTGTTTACATAACTTGATGAACTTTGCATAATTTATAGAATCCAATTGCATTTACTCCTCCAAGTTGTTGAAGCATCATGTTTCATCCTCCTTGATCCTACATTATACAAAATTCAACATCAATTAGTCCATGCTTGAAATACACTTAGAAAGAATTAACTTTGCAAAAGAACTAATAGGGAAATCAAAATATTGGTTACTGGACTAACAGCAACATTGAGAGCAATCCATGTACAACAACTTTGCTATAGTATCGAAATGCATTGATTACTTTTGAGAAAACTGATTATCCACTTTTCATGAATGAAAGGTACCGACCAGGAAGCGGCTGGCTCTGATGATATGATATAAAGTATTAAGTGATTAAACAACACTATTTGAATACATAAATTAAAATGCTAGCTTCAGACAGGACTCCTACATGCTTACAGATTGTGATAAGAGCATACTAATGAGAAAAATAATGTGATAAAATTTTTGTGGAGGAGCAAATTCCCTCCAATCATTGTGAAAACTGTGTGTCATTCCAATATGATTTCACAAAAGGCCTAGTGTCCATAAAGAAGAATTACAAACCAACTAAATAGCAAAGTACATAAATTCACATGATAAGTGGTAGATTATTAAGAAAAGGAAACATGCAGTATATTATATATCCTAAAGAAATCATGAGAAAATACAATTTGGAGCAAGAATTGTTATAAGTGAATCAAAGATATTAAATTTGCATCATTCACACATACCTTGAAGGGAATCCGATCTATTCTCAATATGCTTCACCTTAAAACAGTACGTAAAGAAACATAAACTCAAAAATGTTTCATCTGCTTTCAAACAAAGTACAAATTAGGTAAAATAAACTCAAAAAAGTTATTTCAGCTGTTCCTCACTATCCAAATAACAGGTAAATAAAAAGCTCTCAACTTCAACCGATTTATCTGGTGCTAAAAATCAAACTTATCTTCCATATCATCTTTAAATCACGACTATGCATGCTAATTCTTATAATAATCAAATCATCACAATCATATGGTGCAAAAAATCTTCAATAATGCATAATAAAATGATAGGAATGCAAGAGCCAATAGCAACATGTAAACTTTCAAAATAAGCAAAGCAATAGAACATTCCATCTCTGGTAGAAACCCCGTGATTCTCCCTTTAAAGCCCACACAAGGTTCAGGTCTATGGAAAAGATTGCAAAAGGCAACTATACATTTGTATCCCCGTCAAGTCCTCACACAGTAAATCAAACAATTCCAATTACGAGTAAAGATTGCAGATTTCAACAAGGGACCCAATTTCAAGAAACAAAGTTGAAAACAAAGAAGAAGCTCTATGATCAAATGAAGAAGCCATCAAGAAATTTAATGTAACTGGTTAATTACTATCTAAAGATGTATATAGTCAGTGAATCGTACACTAAAACTCTTAAACATGAGAAAGATTATATAATAACACGAGTTGTCACAAAAAAGGCCCCAGATTGTATTCTGACAACACACAAATGAGAATACAATATGAACAGCTGACCAATTTGATTCCACTTATCCATAGAAACAACATACATCTAACTAACAAATACTTACAACAAAAACCAAGTTTCAGCGCAGAGCTCGCCCATTGCCAACCGAACCCCAATCCCCTGCAACACCCATCAACAATTACTCAAAATCCCAACAAAATGAGTGCCAAATAATATCAATATATCCCAATTCCAGAAAAAAAACTCATTAAGAAACTAAGTACCCATTTCTCAAAAACGTAAATAAACAAAAACCCAGATCGAAAGGGAGAATGGCGTGAATCCCTCCTCTGCCTTCGTCGGCGAATCGATGGCCCGCAACCAGCTCGAATTCCTCCTCTGCCTTAAAAAATACACAATAACTTAAAAAAATTCATCAAGCCCACAAAATTAACCAAAAAAAATCGAGAGGAAATTCTCACTGAGTATAGAAATAGAAAGTGATAGCTCCTTGATAAACAACCAAAAAAATTCGAACCAAACAAGGAACTTTCTGACCTTGATCCCCTTCAGCTCGTCGGTCGATCCGTACTTGATGACGCCGGTGATGGTGTCGGCGTAGTGGACAAGGTAATCGAAGTGGATGTAGCAGGGGGATTGGAGGTTGACGGTGAAGTGGCCGTTGGAGGAGACGGAGAAGGATTTGACGGAGTCTGGGAGGAGCTCGTGGATTGACGATGGTTGGCAACTTTCTGATACTTATGTACAATGTTATGATGTGAAACTAACAGAGAAAAATACAGAGCAATAAAAAATCATCATATACATAATCGAGACAACCATCGCTCGAACATCAAGATCCCAAAGATCAAAATTGTGGGCCAAAAAATTGAGAAAACCCCCTTAAAAATTCCAAAGATCGAACCTTGACGACGGCAATCACAACACCTCGGATGCCTCCGGCATCTGCTTGCCACGTCCCCAGACCAACCACCGGGTCCTTAGCGCCGGTGTTCAGTTCAAAAAACATCGTCATTGTCTTCGTCTAGAGAGAGAGAGTCTGCCGATTTGACGAATAGGGAACCGAATCCAATCATGGAGCAGAGCGAATCTGAGGCCGACCATGGAGGAGGATGAGGCTGTCAAGGAGATGCGGAGGAGGGGGGATCTCGACACCGTCGAGGTCGGCGTGGAGATGTGCCGGAAGTTTGAGCAGAGGAGGATGAAGAATTGGGGATCTGAATAATTTTTAGGGTTTTTACATAGCGGGAAATGAAAAGATAGGGGGGAAATTGTGGCGCTGGGTCTCAAAACCAAAATATCGGAGGCATTCCGTCCAGAATGCCAACCTAGACGGAATTTTCCGTCTAGGATGTGGCAATCTAGACGGAACAGTCTAGACGGAAATAATTCCGTCTAGTTTGCCTCAAACTAGACGGAATTATATTCCGTCTAGGTTGTTCCGTCTAGCTTGATTGATTTTCTACTAGTGTTCATGCTGAGATACATGCTGAAGTGCAACTTCGGATGAATCTTTATGTTAAGATGTAAAATGTGCTTTGTATAGGCTCTAGTGTCTGAACTATTACAACAGAAGTTGTAACTTGCTGTCCTAATTTCTCCATACAAGTAGTATGTGCTGTTAGAGTAGCAACATGTTGAATACAGGCAACACAATAAGAAACTGACGCAAGTTCCGACACTTATTTGTGTCGTAAGATGCATATTAAAATAAAAAAAATAGAAAATAGTTATTTGAGTCTTGCAATATGATTTTGTGTCTAGATGTTAGTAATTAATTTAAAGAAAAATTATTTTATCTAATTTATTAGCGGAATAATTTATCCTTCTACTCTGGCCAAACGGAAAAACCTAGCACAAAACAAATACGAAATCCCGCAGAACTATTATGGCTAGGTTTTTTTTGAGAAAATATTATGGCTAGGTTAGCGTAAAACCCCAAATTTTTTGAAAATATTATTATAAATGATAATAAATGAGTTTTATTATGATTTGTGATCATTCTGGGATGAATGGATTAGATTGGAATCAATTTGAGATCGATTTGCAGTTTCAGCCTCGGTATCGCGAGTCTACTGAAAACTAATACTCTTTTATTTTTAGTAATTTTTCTATTAATCAGATGAGCACGAAATTTGCGCCATTGATTTTATAATGTCAAGACTGTGCTGTGATTAAAGTTTTGTTGTGTTTTGACAACGGAGACTGAAATACTATTTTGAGACGGTATCAAGTCCGTTAGCATCTTTCATATTTATATTTTTAATAATTTTTATATTAATCAGATAAATATGATGATTACACCATTGATCGTAGAATGTTGAGACAGTCTTGTGGGCAAATTTTTATTACTTTTTGAGAATGGAGATTTGAAACTTAATTTTTAAATAATATAAAATTATAAATATTATTATTATTATTATTTTCCTTTACTTTTCTTCTCTCCACCTACCCCGACCTACCCCCCTCCTATAAAAGCCTCTCCCCCCTCTCTCTTCTGAGCACACAGAGAAGAGAAAAAAGAGAGAGAGAGAGAAAGAGAGGGAGAGGGAGAGAGAAAGAGAAATAGAGAGGGAGAGAGAAAGAAGGAGAGAGAGAAAAAAGACAGAGAGGAAGAAAAGAGAGAAAAAGATAGATGGGACTTTGGCTATTCGGATAAAAGGAACGGATAGGGAGTCAAATTTCAGAGATCAATAAATGCAAGTTCATCTCTTTCCAAACTCATCCCTAGTAAATTTTGATCTTTATGAATGTACATAATATTGATGAAAAGATATGATATTGATAAAAATTAATGAATATACATGAGATTGAAGAAAAGACTTGATATTGATGAAAATTGATGAATAGAATATAAGACCAAATTCCTAAAGACATGATATTGCTAGCTAGAACTATACGTACATGTCTACCGCTGGAAATGCTGTTACTATTTATATGTATGGTACTATTCATACATACGGATACTATTCATACGTACAGTATTATTCATAAATATGGCACTATTCATAAATACCATTACTATTCATATGTACAGTACTGTTCATAAATATCGTATTGTTCATACGTACGGCACTATTCATGAGTACTATTACTATTCATACGTACTGTGGTACTATGCATAAATACCATTACTATTCATACATACGGTACTATTCATGAGTACTATTACTATTCATATGTACTGTGGTACTATGCATAAATACCATTACTATTCATACATATGGTACTATTCATGAGCACTGTTACTATTCATACGTACAGTGACACTATTCATAAATATCGTATTGTTCATACGTACGGTACTATTCATGAGTACTATTACTATTCATACGTACTATTACTATTCATGAGTACGGATACTAGTCGTAAAGTACTGTTGCTATTAGTAAGTACTGTTACTATTCACAATTTGTTATTATAGCAGATAGTCGGGGTTGGTAACCCTGACCATTTACTGGACAGTTTGGCCCAGTTTTATTTTCTGGAGTTTGTTTGCGCCGTTTGTAACGCGATCGCAGAGTTTGAGCCGCTCGATGTTATACTTACAGTCATGAATATGACGAAATACGCATTTGAGTATCCCACGGGGATTATGACGAATTGAGATCTATTTACTTGTGAGTTAGTACACCGCAAATGAGACTGTGATGATAACTATTTGTCGATCCGCACGGTGATGCGATGATATCTATTTGTCGATCCATACTATGATGCGATGATACCTATTTGTCGATCCGCACTATGATGCGATGATATATATTTGTCGATCCTCACGGTGATGCGATGATACCTATTTGTCGATCCGCACTATGATGCGATGATACCTATTTGTCGATCCGCACTATGATACGATGATACCTATTTGTTGATCCGCGCGATGATACGATGAGTTGGAAGAAGTTCAGAATGATAATATTATAAACTATTTAGCTGAGTATTTGGCGGATGCCAAAAGTGTTTCTACTCATTGTTGAGATACTTTGCTATACGAGTACACGAGATACATATGCTGATGTCTATTATGATGCTTTACTTTCCAGTTATATTTTGATTGCTTAGTTCAGGGTTAATATTTAGTTATTTACTACCTGAGACATACGGTATATACATGAGGGTTTCCTTGTTTGGATTATTTCGCTCGACGTACTACGTCTCAAGTTGTAAGTTTCTAAATATTAATTCCATTAGATACAGGAAAAATTGATCTAGGTAGACTATGCTTAATAGATAGAGCCTCCACTTTATCATCTAGCAGCCCTTCCCCTGGGGGAGGATGGAGGTGAACTTGCTGTAGCGCTCTGACGCTCTTGCTGTTGTTCTTTTTCTTTTAAATTTTCCTTTCAGGCAGCTCAGAGTTCCGGAGAGCCGCAGGATGACGGAGTTTTTGGCATAGTCGTCGTCGCATGATTTATTAGTTGAGACTCCACCGTAGATTTATTTTTACTGTTTAGACATTAGAGTTGTATTCCATTTGTAAAGGCTAGGTGCCTTTGTACGATTTTCAGTTGACTCATGTTGAGACATTTTACATTATTTCAGAGTCCAGATGTATTTCAGTTTATTTCAGTTCAGACATGATATCATTTATGAGATATATCTTTCTACATCATGTCTATTGTATTTACTTTTCCTTATTTTGTCTGTTTTGTACCTTCACTCATAATTGATTTCACTAGAGAATATTACTGTGATTGGTGAAACATGTTATTGTACAGTGTGGGTGCATGGCAGGTTCGACATCTCTGGGTTCACATTGGACTGCAGACATGTGTGAAAACAGGGGCGTCACAGTTGGTATCAGAGCTCTAGTTCCAGTATCCTTAGGATCATCATGTATTGAGTCGTGGAGCTAGAATAGAGTTTCTTAGGATTCATGTATAGAGTCCGCTAAAAATTTGGTAGAATGAGTGAGGACGATATATGCGTATATCTCAAAATTTTGGAATTTTTTTTATAACAACTATTTTATGTTAATCTAAAGTATTTGTGTGAATACTTTGTGTTATGGGTACTTAAGCGTGATACATTATGTTATGTATATATGTATGTTTGCAACCTCATTTACTGTGTCAATTAAGCTCTCCTCTTGATAGTATAAATATCGGGACGAGGACGTGATCGAGGTAAAACTCGTACCTGGAGAGCTGGGCAAGCAGAGCCCAGGTCGCAGCAGACTCCACAGTATCTGATCGACTTCATGGCGCCATTTACAGCAAGATTTTTGCAACACTTGAGGAGCGAGAGGAGTATCTGTTTCCGTCTGCAGTATCACTTTCAGGAGTTCCACCTCCGTTTGTACCTGTCGTGCCAAGTGAAGAGGCAATACCAATGAGTACACCACCACCATAATCAGTTGTTGATAGAGTCGCAGAGCAGGAGGCTTGGCTTAGTAAGATTGAGAAAGATATCAAATAATAAGAGCACCATAGTTTCAGGGCACACCGGATTCATGTGCAGCCTATAAATGGAAGAAATATGTGAAATTTTCTTAACGTCAATTCAGTAACAAAACAGAAGTTAGATGTAATCAGCGTAAAGGACAAACATAAGTTAGATGTAATCATCGTAAACGACATCACCGGAGGATAGCAACGACTTTAGATTTTCGCCAGAGCAGCAAATATAACTTATTTAGGAGAATTTTGTTTACTTCTTCGACAAGCAGTCAGAGTTAGTATGATTGAAGCAGGGAGATATGCCTGTAGTTAATGAAGAAATCAAAACCAGCATAGTGATGATGACAAGGGAAAGGAGCCTATTGCGGGATCTAGAGAACCCCAGCAGCGGGATAAAGATTTTTACCACTATCAACAAGGACAGTATAAGGAGAGAGCACAACATAATTCGAGAGCGCAGTTGCAACAAAAAGTTCAGGGTACATGTTACAATTGTAACAAGATTAGACAAAGAGCGAAGGACTTGTCGCAGTACACCAGTAGGAAGCCAGCTTGATAGAGGTCAGGGTCGGCAGTCTCAGAGCCGCAATTATGCCAGCAGCAGAGGATAGAGGCACTAACTGTTATTCCAAGGATTGAGGGGCTAGTAGGCTAGATTTGCGTTATCCAGGAGATTCCTGAGGGACAGATGGTCCTATATATTTTCCATCACTAACAGAGTTTATGCAGCCGTATCGCGTGTTCATGGTACGAGCGGAGCTTTCTTCGTTTAGACCTTGTTTTATTTAAAAAATTTCGCATTCTTTTATCTTTCATGCCTTCATGGATAGGCTTCAGCTTAAAGCACATCCTGTAGATGTTTCGTTATTAGTCTCTACTCCTTTATGGGAGATATCCCTATTAGAGAGTACCTGTAGGAGC